AAAAGTCACATTTTCTTGCTTTTGAGAACAAAACACGCAGCGAGGGTGCTGACCTGGCGTGAGTTCCAAGTCCTTCAATATTTGAAAGCCACGTCTTCAGCCAAGCCAAGCTTTGTGATTAAAGGGCAAACATGTCAAGCCATCTTCCGTTCATTCAGGCTGTCTGCAGTCCCTACACTGATCACTCCGATGATAATATTCACAGCGAAATTACTATATTTTTTATGGAACAACATCCACAACATCGCCCTGTTTTAAAAATACATTACTTTCTAGTTAAAGGAATAAATGATATAACTACAAAACATATAAGGATTACCAGCCCCAGGGATAAGAGGTGTCGTTAGGCTTTAATGAATTACGCAATTATACTCAAGTAATGGAGGGGCTTTACATGGGGTTCGAGCTGCCAGCAATCACATCTATGACGTTTATATCCGTTCCATGGTATTTTTTGCACATGCATTCAGTATATCCCTGCATCGGCCACTAACACTTATGGAATAACCCCACTAATCTCAATAGGTCTATACAACTTAACGCATCCATCAGATGAACTACATTTTCCAATTGGATGCCTGAAAAGGTAGGAATCCCTCCATGTTGCACGGGAGCAATTCTTCCAAATCTTTTTTTTTATGGAAGCGCCACATGATGAGGATTCATTTGGGGATAAGGAGATTGATGCTTTATTCCTCGGCTGCTGAATTGACCAGTGAATTGTACCACTTGGCGAGGCATAGTTATTTAGGTTTGTTTAGCTTTCAACTTACCCTGGGAAGCCGCTGCTGATTCTATGTTGTGGTGGCTGCCATTTCGCTGGACTCTGTCGGTCCCTCTGCTTGCCATAGTGTTCTATGCGGGGTGGTCAACATTGCCATTAAATATTTATCAGGGTCTTTCCAGTCTTTTGGCGGGCTTGCCACTGTGCGGCCTTAAGGTTCATCTGTTGGGGATTAAATATTGCATGATGGGTGCTGACTGCCTGTTTCTGCTGCTTCTCCAGGCAGTAACACTGGAGGGCTGTTTCTGTCAAC